AACGCCCCTCTCGTAACATTAACATTAGTCGTAAGTGCTATCTTAGCATTAACATTAGTATTAACTTTACGATGTTTCTGACAACGGCCAAGCAGATGATCATTTAGAACGCACCTCGCTACTACAAGTAGCTGTCGTGCTTGTAGTGAATTTTCACAACGTATCTCTCCTTGCACGCGTCCGTCCGTGCATCGGGCAAACTATCGCCAGGTGGCGCTGACCCACAACCGCATGCTGTTAGTGTGTGGGGAAGTTTTATAGGAGAGCTCGTGTGAAGGGGAATTGCAGAGACAGAGAAATCAGAACAAAATTGCTGGCAAAAATCCTGTGCAAGAAGAAGAAGAAAATCGAATAGTTAGACGATAGATTCTACGGTGCCAAGTGCCAACTACATATTATTAGTGGTGTCATATCAGGAGTAAATAATAACAAAAACAAACAAACAAACAAACAAACAAAACAAAAACAAAAACAAACATGTGTTATTAATTACTCCTGATTGTGTCAATATTCTATTAGTAGTCAATCAGCCAATAATTAGTCAATAATCAAATGAATATACTCTTCACTTTGCTCTGTGCCACATCAAGGAAAGAGGCAGTTTTCCAGAAATAATTAACGACATTCGATTAGGATTACTCGTCAACTAATCTAAATGGAACTAAATATCTAAACAAAATGATATCTAAAATATCTATAATATACCTCATATAATATAATATAAACAAATATCTAATAATCCAGAAACTAAATATCATTGTTATACTCGAAATAACGTGTGGTACTAAAACCTCCGCGGATAAGCTCAGCTAAATTGCATTGTCAGCCACAGCCTCGGCCCCTGTGCTGGCAGCTCCCCTGAATTTACTAGATGAAATCAAACATGTTGTGTTAAGGCTGAGCACACATGCACTCCATCAAACCATTTCACTATGACTCGCCCCATCTTTGCACACCGTTAACAATTTCAGTCGAGTTTAGAAATCGATTAGATTCCGGCAACCCCAGCGGAACACGCAATTGTCAACTTGGCGGCGAAAAAACCCCGACAGCGCTTCGAGAACGAATGCGATTTTGGTAGGCATGCTTCGCCACTTAACCTCGCAAATAACCGGAGAAAAACAGCGATTGTTCGGGCGAGCGAGGGAGCGAGTGACGGTTGCAGTGAAAACAGCGTCTATAACAGCTCTTACATAAACAACGAGTGGCGAACACGCGTGGGCATCTTGAAACCTGTGCAGATTCGAAAATCGAAAATTTCGAACGACGCGTCACAATCACGGGAAATTGCACAGCTGCTGCTGCTGCTGCTGCTGCTGCTGATGCTGCTGCTCCTACTGATGCTGCTGCTGCTGTTGCTGCTGCTGCTGCTACTGCTGCTACAGCTGCTGGTGGTGGTGGTGGTGGTGGTGGTGCTGCTGCTGCTGCTACTGCTGCTGCTGTTGCTGCTGCTACTGATGCTATTGCAGCTGCTGCTGTTGCTGCTCCTACTGCTGCTACTGCTGCTGTTGCTGCTGCTGCTGATGATGCTGTTGCGGCTGCTGCTGTTGCTGCTCCTACTGCTGCTACTGCTGCTGTTGCTGCTGCTGCTGCTGCTGCTGCTACTGATGCTGTGTGTGTGAGTCATGAATGCATAACGACTAGGAACAGTAAGGCTCGCGTGAGTTTAACAAATCGACGTTACCTGCGACTTGTGTTTGGTTGTCGGGCTGCTGGTGGCCGCGGGCAGTACCTGACCACTCCGCCCTCCTCTCTTCCTGCAACACAACACGCAGTAGATGCTCTCTATCAGTGCTGCATGCCTTACAGGTTACCTCGTTCTACGCCATGTCGCCCGCTTTCCTGGTTCTCTCCACTCTGTTTTCTATCTATCCTCTCTCACTCTCCTGCTTTCCTCTTTCTTCCGCTCCCACTTCCTCTCTTTCTCTTTCATTTTCTCTCTCCCCCTCACTCTTCTCTCTCTCCCATCTCTCTCTCTCGTCACCTCTATTTCTCCCCCTCACTCTTCTCTCTCTCCCATCTCTCTCTCTCGTCACCTCTATTTCTCCCCCTCACTCTTCTCTCTCTCCCCTCCCACTCTTCTCTTTCCTTTACCTTAAACCCTCACTCCGTCATGCGCTGTCTCTTACAGCATAAAACATGAAAAATATACAAATATACAAACTACCAAAACAAAACTAATCATTAACCACAAACACAAGCCTCACTGATAACACACGCGTAACATCAGTCCATCACACAGCATCCCTCGCACGCATCTCCGCTGCTATCACAGCAGCGACCCCCCCCCCTATCGTTGCCACGCCTCCACTCACCGCTCAGCGCCGCTCACGTGACTGCGCGGCAGGCTGCCCGTCGACTCCGCCGTCGCGAGGGGGGCGCCACCGTTCCTCTCGGCGACGTCGCGCAGTGGCGCGCCCTTGTGGTCGGTCGAGGCGCCGCTGCTGTAGCCGCTGCGGATGAACGAAGACAAACATGGCATTGATAACGCGATGCAACGGTCTCACCGCCCGCCACCGACAACCCTTCACGCGCGCGCGAGGGAGAGATAGATACACAGCGGTCTCACCGCCCGCCACCGACAACCCTTCACACGCGCGCGCGAGGGAGAGATAGATACACAGCGGTCTCACCGCCCGCCACCGACAACCCTTCACACGCGCGCGCGAGGGAGAGATGGATAC